AATTATTTATTTACAAATAAATAATAAAAAAAATATTCAAATATTCTATTTTCAAAAGAAATCCTATTTCAGATAAGATTAATATTCTGCAATCAACAGTTTTACTTTCATCTGATTATACTACTTTACACTAATCATTAAAATTTTAATTGTTATAAGAGAAACCTCAAGTTTATAATTCTAAAACATTTTTTTTGAACTTGAACTGCAGTTAAACACTCTTCACTAATAATATAATAGATAGCTTAATGTTTTTCTCAATTTGTTAAAATAGGAGAATAATCAGACTTAGGTAAGTCTTTTGTTCTTTTCGTTTCTTTATATTTATTATAAAGATATAATATAGTATTTTTACTAACTTTATATTATAATGCAAGTTTAAGTTGAGTATAAACTGCTTCATCTAGAAAAGTGCAAATATGAATTTTTTGCTCTTTAGTAAGATAAACTATAATGTAAATAACAGTTAAAGTTAGAAAGTGTGATATTTTGAACATTTTAGATATTTTGTTTTAAGAAAATTTAAAAAAAAAAGAATTTTTTTGTTGAAATTAAATATAAAAAAGGAAATTATATGATCTATTATATATAAAATTGATTGACAATAATTTATATTACATAGTTGTATTTCTTTTGCTCATTAAATTTAATAAATTTTAAGCATTGAATAAAAATATAACTAAAGTAGTTATGATATTAATTTTTATATATAATATATATATAATTCAAAGTTTCAATATATAAAATTTTACATTGATCGAATCATATTAAAGTTTAAATCTCAGCAATTTACTTAGAAAAATATTATTAAATTATATTTTTATAAGTAAATTATCAGGATTTAACCTTTAATTTTTATATATCTAATGATTCGATTAACGTAAAATTTTGTATATTGAAACTTTGAATTATATACATATTATATATAAAAATTAATATCATAACTACTCTAGTTATATTTTTATTCAATGCTTAAAATTTTAATAAGTAAGAAAATCTGACATAAATTGTCAATTTTTATAAAACTAATATTATTAACTTAATTTTTTTAAATAAATTTATTCTTTAGATTTTAAAGATTAAAATAAATATAAAATTACTATTTTAGCATTCATAATTAATGAGTTATAAGCATTTAAATATAAAAATTAGTGGTTGTGTTTCTTTTGTTTACTATTGTATTTAGCTTCAAAGATTTAAGCAGAACTATATATGTATGAGCAAACTGTACTAATCATTATATTTTCTAGTTTAAGTTTTATAGAATATAATATAAAAGTATTATAATAAAATTTTAAATAATATAAAAGTTAGTTTTAAGACAACTTTTTGAATATTTCAAATATAAATTATATATTATTATAATTATTTTATTTTTGACAAAATGTTACTTTTAATATAACTTACCCAATAATAATTATATTTTAATAAAATTTAATATATTATTTCACTATATTAAAATGCAGCTTCTTGTAAAAATTTAACATATATTATTATGTAAGATTTCTGATCAAAGCATTTTTATATGTGATAATAAATAAATGATCAGTAAATTGATTGTTAAAATATAATAAAATTAAGCATATCTGCTATACTATAATTTATATTATTATTTATCTGTTTAATAATAAGTTGATGCTAATTAACTTTTACAATTACATAAAAATCTAGATAAAGTTCTAAACTTAACAATGATTTCTATTTCTCTAGTATACTTTCAATTTTAGTATAATTAGTTTGAAATGAAGTTAAAGACTATATATATAGATCTAAGATTATACAAGATGTCCTGTTATTTACTCATTCAATAACTGAGTTGATGCTAATTAATTCTTGTAATTGTATAAAAGATAAAGTTTCAAACTTAATAACAGTTCCTATTCCTTTAGTATACTTTACATCTTTAAAATTTTTTGTTAGATATTGATAATATAGTACATATAATTTTTTAATTTTAATAAAATATCATTTTCATATTTAATATATATCTTTTCAACTTTTTTATATATACCTTCTTATTAGAAAATAACTTTTTTAGCTATAAATATAACATGCATTTCTAAATCATTATTAGATTATATTCTTTTTATATATTTTATGATTTTGTATAAAATAACTGGTCTTACTAATACTTGACAGATTACCAATTTGACTAATATTTTTAAAGCATCTATAATTTTATCAGCATATTTTCCTTAGAAAATAATTTCAGTCTTTATGTTAAATATCATTTGTTATTATACAGTATTTTTTTTCTAATTGAAATATATATGATAAACTTATTTTTAATTTAAAATTTATATGACAAAAAAAAAATTTATAAATAAAAAATTTAAATTTCATTAAGCAAACTATTTTATGTTTAAAATGATGAATTAAATTTAAACTTCTACTTACTTAAAAATTTTAATAATTGATAAAAAAAATTATAATTAATCTCCTTTGGCATTACTTATAACTATGATATCAATTTGTTATTCAGCTTAAAATGTCAGATAAGTGATTTATCTAGTATCACATAATTTAATCTTTTATTTTTTATGAAATAATTTCTTAATATTTAAACTTTTATTAAATTTTGGAAAATACAAATTTTAAATAATATAAGTTATAAAGGTATAAAATCTTATGATGTTTTTAATAATTATAATAGATTTCATAAAACTTTTTAATTTTAATATATAATGTGTTTTATAAAAACTTTACAATTAATAATAAAGCATTACAAAAATATTCTGATTTCAATATAATAGACTATATTAAAGAAATTGAGCTTTTATATATTAAAATAATTTTATAGTTATTCTTTTAAACAAATTCTATGTTATTCTCTCAATATAGAAATTATTTCAAAAAAATAATTATTGAGTCATTTCAGTATTAATAAAAATTAGTTATTATTTTACAATTTATTAAAATTTGTATCTTTTAATAAATATTTAATAAAATATATATGTTTCGAACTTAAAACTAAATTTATTTAAAAAAGATCAAAGATTATGATAAATATTTAAATTAAATTAAAACATCAATTATTATATCACATAAGATCCAAAGGATTTAAAATCTATAAGATGCATTTTAATATTACTTATTATTATTTTTATGATTTAATTATTTTGAATTCTAATCTTTTTATAAATATAATATAATTTATTTATTGTAAAAATATAAAGATTTTTTAGACTATTATAAAGCATAATAATAGGAAATTTAATATCCTTATTTTGAAAAACCTTTCTGATTTTAATAGTCTTAAAAAGGGATTTTTTAGTAAAATTGCAAGTTGTGTCTAGTTTATCAAATATCATAATTAAACAAATTAAAAATCTTATACTAATTTATAAGAAATTTATTTCAAACAAATATAAAAATAAATTATTAAAGTTTTTAAGATCAAATAAAATAATCAGGATATAATACAAAATCTTAAAATCCAAAATCTCAAAACTTAAAACCCCTAAAAGGTCTAAAATCTCAAAATCTAAAATCTCAAATGGTACAAAATCCTAAATTATAATAAAATTATTTTGAATTAGTATGTTATAGGTGAGTCACAAGTGAGACTCAGATTATCTGAAAATAATCCTCTAAATATTTTTTCATTTATTTATATAAGCAAAATTTCTTTAATTAAAATTTTTTTCATTTATTGTATAAGTATTAAAACATTAATAAGATAAATTGCGATTTTAATAAAAAAATTTTAATAAAATCATATAATATGCAAATTAATAATTTTGGTAATATCATGCTGTAGTATATAGGAAATTTTTAAAGGAAAATTAAAGAACTTTAATTTTGTAAAAATTAATTAAAATAGATTTATCTTAAATTAGCTTCATGATGAAAAATCAAATAATAAGAAATATTGAAAATAGAATTGAAGGTTGGAGAATTTTTATCATTTGAGATCTTGGATTTTAAGATTTTGGATATCTTCTAATGATCAGATAGCTATGTATTAATTACATTATGATAATTGTATTATGAAATAAATTTCAAATGATACAATTTTAGCAAATTTATAACTAATTAATTTATTTATTCATGAACTATTAAATGATTTCATTAAAAATCTAATTTTTATCAGCTGTATAACTAATTAATTAGGTAGTATGAAAAACTTTATATATCATTAATTAAAATATAATATTGACATGATATAAATTATTATTCAAATTATTTACAATAAGTTAACATAGTGTTATAATCAATTAAACTTTATCTTATCAATTTAGTTTACTTTGAAATAATTTATTAATTTTAATTGAAAAAAAAGAAATTAATAAATAATAAAAATGCATATTATTTAGCTTGCATAAAAGATATAATTTTTAATATTATATAGTTAAAAAAATGAGTTCTATTATATCTATCATATTATTTATATAATATATTAGAAGATGATAAAAATATTACATAGTTTTATTTTTAGCGATAAAAATTTTTTATTAGGAATGTAGTCAATTTATTTTATATTCAAAAAATATACATATTAATATTTAGTATTTCTTCTTTTAGTTGCAATTATCATCTAAATTCTATTTAGCATAGATTACATCAAATTTTGATATACTTTTTGTGAAATTGTATTTCAAATCTTTTTTATCACTTTATCAAGTTTACAAAAACTTGATAACTAAAAATTGCAATTTCAAATTTTTAACTCAACTGTAGTCTACAAGTTTTTAATTAGAATTTTGAGCAGATTATAAAAGCACTTCTACATTTTAGAAATACAGAAGTTCTCATGTAACCTTTGAAGTGTAAATTAGTATATTATCTTTCTGAAAAATAATTTTTTTTTAGTTTATTAGGCAAATGCTTTGAGTATAAGAATTATATAAGTGGATAGCATTGTTTTGTAGTTACTAAACTTTCAAGTGAAATGATAGGACCTAATTTTATAAAGGAAAAATATGCCCAAAATATTTTTTGAGGAGAATATTTTACTGTTAATGCAATGCAATTTTCATGAAACTCATTTCTGGTTTTCTCTATACTCTTTCCCATCTGGATTTTTGAATCTGTAAAAATGTCAACTCATCTGTCCAAACTATCTTTTTCCAGTCTTCTAAAGTCCAATGTCTTTTTTCTATTGCCCATGCAAGTTGTTTGGATTTGTTGATTGCTGAAATGAAAGGTTTCTTCTAAGGAATATAAGAATGCACATTTTTCTTAAATTGTTCTTGTAGAGATTGCCTTATTGATTTCAGCAGAAAATACTGTATATTAGTAATTTTGCCAGATTTTTTCATCTTAATTCCTGGGTTGACCTGGTCATTTTTTGGATGATGCTCCTGATTCAAAAGCTGCAGGACATCTTGTAACAGTTGTTCGATGACATCTAATAGCTTTTACAATCTCTGTATTATTGTGGCCTAATTTTTTGACTGCAATAATGCCTCCTTTTTGTGTAAAAGTTAATTCTTTGGCGAAACTCATATTACGTAAAGTTGAAAATGATAAAGATTTTTCAAACCTGATTTTTTACAATTTGTAACATATTAAAACACAACAATAAACAAGCATTCCATTTAGGAAATATATAGCTAATATAGTATAAAATCACACGACAAGTTGCATATTAACAATTTTATTATATCAGTTAAATTTTGACTGTGCAATATTTTTGTCACCCCCTGGTATGTATGTACATATATGTTATTAGGTGGGATTAAAATATGGTCAAAGTCTGATATAGTTATTTCTCAGTCCGTAACTTAAGCGTCACAAATTTTATCAATTTATACAGGTGGTTTTTCTTCACGAATTATAACTGTTTTCAAATTTCAGCAAAGTCAGCGGGAACACGTATTAATATTGAAGATAATCCCGCACATAATGGAGAACAAATATCATTAGTATCTGTATCTCCTAATGGTAAATATGTAATCACGTATAGTAGAGAAGATCTTCAATTGAAGGATGAATCGTTAATGAAAGCAATTCTAAATGAACACTTAGATGAGATCCTGATGTGACTGTTTATAAATTACCAGATGATGAATTACCAGAAGATAACAAATCAAGTAAAATTAAAGTTAATGATGATAAATTAGTTTTATATATACGGAAAAAATAATATTAGTACTATAGATGCCTGCCGAAACCTCCTCAAAATAATTTCGTCATATCCTTTTCTATGTTTTTAATATAGTTTCGACAGTT